TTTAAGCTTTCGTAAATCAGTTGATAGTGTATTCCTACACAGAAATTGTCAACTATTTATTTATTCCTTCTACACTAAAACAATGTTAGTTACAATAAACACCGAATAACACAATAAAAAAATACTTCACAAACTCAATTTTGATTTTTTTTATTCAATTGTCAAGCCTTGATATATGCATTCATAAATTGTGGAACACGATTACACTAAGCCAAAATTAGGTTAATCAGCCACAATATAGAACAATCATGTTTAACAATACAACACATCATGTTAACTGACGTCTTGTCTAATACATAGAATACAATTGCTTAACCTTTTGTAATTTCAATGTGTATTCGTCTTTGTGTATTGCCATAGGCTTTGGCACTTTAAAAAGGACCAATCCGGAACCTAATCGGCTTCCATATACACTTCAAGCTTTTTCCATACTCCAGGTGTTACGCTCACTTTCTCGCAGATAGCGAAAGTGGGCGTTACCCCTGGAGTATTTAGGATACAGGTCCTGCATTTTTGTTATCTTTGTTTTTTCAATTATCCTTTTTTTCTCTAATGGACAAACTCAAGTGCCTTACGTAACACCAGAACAGTTAATAATGAATGAAAGAAATATTCTTTCATCTTTAAATATGCAGATATATTTGCGGCTTTATTGAAAATGTACAGTCCAGAGTGAGGTCTGTATATTTTGCACACCGTGTCAGAGGATCTTCCTCTATATAATTCATATCACATACTTTACAGATGCTTTGGTCTATAGGAACCCTTTGTATTTCGATACTTATTGAGTATCTGTCGGCTTCCATGGTAGGGGGAGATAACAACATCCGACGGTAAATAGAACTCTACGTTTATTCATTTATTATTATGTTTGGCTTACAACATTAACGTCAGGAAATGTTTTAAATTATATTTAAACGTGTGTTAGGTTATACGTTTATTGCTCTTAATAACATCATTTATATCGCTCCAAACATATTTATTCCATCTTCTCAGTCAAACATTCTTTTTATATTTTCTTCTAGAGCTTTGAAATAATTCTATGTTTTGTTGCTATGCTGATTATTGCTACTTTTTGAGTCTTTGTTCAATCTGATTTGCGCTTCCCAAGTCCTAGGCTTTTCAAAGTATACAGGACAATTTTTGTACTTGAAATGTCTTAATATAAGATGTTTTAATAAGACATCAGACAGTATTCATCGTCTGGTTGACATTACAAGAATTCCAATACATATCACAGCATATAGCTCCTGCTTTCTTTGAAGCAACTAAAATATCTGCATACATTTTGCTTAGTCATATAAAAACTTTAGAATTATTAATACCTCATAATCAACGACTAAAAACAGTTCAGTTTCAATTAAAAAACATTACAGCTTAAAAAATAAAATATAAGCATTACAAGTCATTTCACCAGTATAAGGGTACATTAAAAACAAGACAGTTAGTGCTCTGCTAGTTGATTTACAAAATACCGTATAAAATATTTATGAAATACTTTACAAATATATTTACAAAATACCGCATACATGTCATTGTATTATACTAGTTCTAAAAATCCTCAAATCATAAGGCTTCATATATATATAGTTGTTCTTTAAAATTATCGATACATTTCCACACTTAAAAACAGTAATCTGTCAATCTTTTAAATTATGTCTTCAGGTATGCAATACTGTATACTTTGAAATGTTCGTTGTGTATAACCATTCGTGGTTTTCGTGAAATTAAATACAACGAATTTGAATGATATACGTGTCTACTGTATGCTCCTATTCCGTCTTTGCGTATTGCAGAGTTATCTTCTCTTGGGAGCAGGTATTGATTATTACGTCACTTGTTTGTGAGAGTAACGTCATCAATTTTTGAGAAAACGACGTAATTTTCTCACACAAACCAATGACGTAACAATCAATACCTGCTCCCAAGAGAAGATAACTCTGCAATACGCAAAGACGGAATAGGATATCCGCGAATGTTTGAACCACGATACGATATAAATGGCTTCAAAACACGAAGTACCCACGAACATTTCGTGTTGTACAGTATTTGTTTCTCTCGGTATAAAGGTCTACACCTTTCTCCATAAAGTAATGAGCATCTTCGACAACACTGCACCAACGGGTGCTTAAAGTCTCAAGTCACCCGCTCATAAAAGGATAGAAATTATATAAGTATTCTGTCATCATTTATCTTTAACGACAGGTTGACGCACCAATATATTGTGCAATATATTGAAATAATCTGGGAGATGCTTTATAAATATGCTAAACTAACAAATAATCCCCATTATTGGGAACAATTTAGAACCCTACGAAATGAAACTATTGACCTTATCCGTGAGGCAAAAGCAAACTTTATAAAAAATCTTGAAAAGTCACTAAATGATAATGTGGTTACTTCAAGCAAATGGTGGAAGATAGATAAATCTATTACCAATTTTTCTAATAAGTCATGTTCTTTTCCACCACTTGAATCCAACGGCCAAATAATCCATCATCCAACTGACAAAGCAGAGCTTCTTAACAATTACTTCACTAATATTTCTACATCAACACCTGACCTTGAATTATCCCAAACAGCACAAGCCAATGCCCCCTATTCACTATCAAACATTCATATCACTGAACAAGATGTTTCCGATCAAATTAATATACTCAACACTAATAAACCCCCAGGCTCTGATGGTGTTATTCCTAAAATTGTGAAAAAGCTCATGCTTCTCTTAAATAACCTCTTATGTTATTATTCAATAAGACACTAGAGTCTGGTATAATACCTTATAGTTGGAAACAAACAAATGTTAATGCTATTTATAAAGGAAATGGCTCATCTAATGATGTGTTAAATTACCGACCAATTTCAATTACATCATGCTTCAGTAAAATAATGGAAAAAATTGTTTTTAAATATCTATACAACTTTTTGATTGAGAATGATATTATTACTAAGCATCAGTCTGGCTTTATACCTGGTGATTCTACTGTCAATCAGCTTTTGTTTATTTATAATGAAATTGCAAGCAATATGGATAAAGGAAAGGAGCTTAGATTTGTTTTTTGTGATATCAGTAAAGCCTTCGACAGAGTATGGCACAAAGGTCTTTTATTTAAATTGAAATTATATGGTATAAATGGAAATCTACTTTTGTGGTTTGAAAATTATCTGTCTAACAGAATGCAAAGAGTAAATACTGAAGGTTATTTTTCACAATTTAAGAATGTAAATGCAGGGGTACCTCAAGGATCTGTCCTCGGACCACTATTATTTCTTCTCTACATCAATGATATCACTACTAATGTTTCCACCAATATCAAACTTTTTGCTGATGACACTTCTCTGTATGTAATTATAGATGATAACCCAGCACAGGCCGCACAATCTCTCAACACTGATCTTACTAACATAGGTGAATGGGCAACAACTTGGGACATTAAATTCAATCCAAGTAAAACAAAATCACTCATATTTTCTAGAAAACAAGACACCCATCACATCCCACTATTTTTCCAAAATAGCCAAATCATAGACACATCATCACATCAACACTTAGGACTTACACTTCAAGATGATGCAACATGGAAACAGCACATACAGAATATATACAAAAAAGCTTACAATAGACTTAATATTCTTCGCCATGTCAAAACTAAAGTCAATAGAAAATCATTAATTAAAATATATATGGGATTTATTAGGCCAATTTTGGAATATGCAGATATTATTTGGGATAATTGTACACAACAGGCAAAAGATATTCTTGAATCTGTACAATTAGAAGCAGCTAGGATAATAACAGGTCTTCGTTCTGGGGTATCACATGACAAACTATACAATGAACTAGGTTGGGAAACACTATCTGTAAGACGAAATAAACACAAACATGTAATGATGTACAAAATTATGCATTGGCAGACACCTCAATACTTACAAAATGTTTTAAATCCCTTTATTAATAATCAAAATGATAACCCCTACCCTCTCAGACAAACTAGGCTTTTCAACCCACCGTTATGTAGAACTAATAACTATTTTGACAGTTTTTTCCCTCAAATGTGCCGCACAATTAACATTGCAAATTCTGATCTTCTTAATTCTCCCTCTCCTGCAGCATTAAAAAAATATTTGAATAAAGATATTATTTCTGATAGTGAATCTGTTTCAATTTTCAAAACAGAAGGTAACCGAAGAGCAAGTATTATTCTATGTCGACTTCGAAACTCTTGCAGTAATTTAAATTATGATTTACACCATGACCATCTTACTAATAGTCCTGCTTGTACCTGCTCTGCTGAACATGAAACAGTATCTCATTACTTTTTGGAATGTCCTATTTTTAATAATCAAAGAACAACTTTGTTCACTTCTCTTAATAGTTATGGAAACCACAACCACATTGATAAAAACATTCTTCTCCAGGGCTGTCCTGATTGTGATGGGCTTACAAATAGAAGAATACTTGATGATGTGCATATTTTTATTGGAAAATCCCGTCGTTTTAATTTTTATATGACTTAAAGCCATGATGTTAAACAAAAATATACTATATATTCTATATTTCATCCAGGAGATTCTAGTTGAGCATGACTACTGTCTATTGCGTGTACTTATCATGACATTGTAAATAATTACACTTTATATGTATTAAATGAATTTATTATTTTTAATTGTAACAGTTGTTGGTAGCAGTGACCTGTGCAATATATGCACATGGACTTTTGGTCTAAGCCTGCCAATATCTGTCTATGATAGTGTATATATATGCTGAAATAAATGTATTTGTACATGTACTTGTATGTGTGTGTAAGTGTGTATGAGGTGTGTGAGATGTTTCCTTCATGAGTTACTTCCCCTTAGCCTTGTGTTAATATGAATTATTTTGTGTTAATTTTTTCATTTGCAACATGTCTAAGATATTATGTCTCCTTGTTTATTCAACTTTGGCCATTTGACGGAGAGAATTTATATAGGCTTTGCCTGTTATTCAATCCAATTGATTACAACATCTTGTCAATAAAATTTGATGAAATGAAATCACGGGTCACCCTTTTGCGACACTTCAAAGAGGTCGATTGTCCCACTATTGACACGTTTCCTTCAAAAATGTTTGGAGGAGGTAGGGTGAGATAAAACTAAGGAAAAGGTGAGTTTTGAGCATAAACCCAGAAGGGAACAGTTATTTTTCTTTTACAATGATGTAGTAAACAAAATACTGTCTCATAATCATACAAATTCGAGCGACAGTTTGTTGGTCAATTGCCGTCTCCGTTTGAATTCATGCGTTTCAAAGTAAACCCTTCATAGATGGTTATGCTATTGGGCCAACAAATGAAAATTATATTGTACCTCTGTACATTTAACGTTAGTACAGGCTGCCAGGTCACAACCAATACTTTAAGAAAAAGCTGGACAAAGTAATATAAAATGCATTTCACCTCCAACATCATACTTGATACAGATTATACCCCTGGACCTTTTGGAACGATAATAAAACGTCCAAATTATATGTAAAGAGACGTCACATGCCTGCATGCGATATTTACTCAATAACAATTTGATACTAGACTTAAGCGGTTTGTTGAATACAAAAAAAATAGTCTAAAGTTATTAACAAGATGCTTCAATAAAGGGTAATTGATAATAACAGGAACAACGTTATACTAAAAACATCATATTCCTCTTGATGATAGACCTCACAATCTTAATAATGAAATATACAAAAATGTATAATCGGTCGGTTCATTAAAAATATTGATCTTATTTATTATACAACTATTATCAATAAATTTCTCCAGCCTTTATTAACCCGCCTATATTGATGACCATGATGAAAGCGCGCATAAGGTCTTAAAGGGGTATACAACTGGATGTTCTGGTGAAAGCCCACATGGCAATCCTTCACAATTCCATTCGGAGAATTCAGCCCCTGCAGTGTTGGTCAATTGGTGAAAGGCACGTGCGCTATCCAGTGCACCAATCGACGTCCAATTCGTGCATTTGTAATCCTACTCGATATAGTAGGCTAAAATTCATAAGGTATTCATAAGATATGCACCATAAAATCCACAGTTTCAGAAATCAAAATATGTTGTAAATATTGTCACGGCGTTGTAATATGGCACATATTGTAACAGACTAAAATAGATGGTGATCTACATTGTTTAATGTATTCTTAGAATAGCAGAACGCCCATCGTGATTGTTGATGATGAATCCCGAATCCGTCCTTTCTACACTGTAACGTGGATTCTCTACGATCCTGACGCATTTTCATCTACAATATTAGACAAGAAAACAATTGTCGAAGCACCATGTTTCTTCATTCCATTTTTGAAGATAAATATTATAATTTTGCTACATCTATTTGATTTAAGAACACCGCAATACTAGATTACTTTCTATAGAAAAAGCAAATTATTGATTTAATTTATATTGGTGGAAAATGATGTCGATCTAGATTCCATTCTCTATAATTATGCATTCGGAAAATGATTTAATCGGGCATGTGAGAAAATAGTTAATACAAAATATTTGTTTCATACTAATAGCCCTCCAGCACCTTATTTTTTCTGCCTAAGCAATAACACATTAATTCATATTTAACCACATAGTAATACATAAATACATTGTAGGGTCAACTTACTTTCTCCGTTTCTGTATTTCCATTCGCAGTTTTGTCCAATTCATCGAGCACTCCTTGGCTGCCTCGTAAACCTTTGCCAAAGTTGCATCTTGCCCAGCATCTTGCACCCATTCTTTCATCAGTTCAAGGAATCTTAGAACGTGAAGACATTTTAATTAACCTTCTCCACCTCCCAATTTAATTAGCCATAATGGTTTCCATAATTACCAATTTTTATCCCATATTATGTATTAAAGGCGTCCCGTGCTACTGCCAGAAAGTGTTAGATGAACGTTAGGTATACACATGTGAATGCACTTATAAAACTTAGTAATAGATACAAAATACCAAAGATGAGTTTCACTACCATACAAGTGCGTAAAACCCCTTAATTATATGTTTTTTTAAACTTTGAAAAGTTCTGGTTAATTTTGAAGGGTCGATAAATGAAATGTGTATATACCGTGTCTATGAACCGAGTCACCACTCAAAGGGTAGTTGTGTCTATCAAAAAAGCAAACCAAGTCATCCACCAGCAAATATATGTAACAATGAATTGAAAACCTTTTACCTGTAAGAAAACGGCTTAAATTAATAAATTCTGTAAAGAAACCTATACCTGCAGAACATGCGTAAAAAAGAAAGATGAAACAAACGAAAAGGACATTAATCTGAGAATAAAAAATCCAACGGGTTCAGACGGGGATTTGAACCCTAGACTCCTGAACATTTCGATCGATCTAACCAACTGAACTACCTGATCAACAGTAAATCCCGGCCTACAGTTACTTTGAAAAGAAATTAAGAGAAGTTACTGTTGTTTTTTATCTTTATAAAAGCATCAACATTTTCTTAGGATCCACTTTTAATGATCGGGAAATCGGAAAGCACATAGTCTATATCAATTTGAGGTATAGTTTCGAATTTAAATTACAGACGGACGGACAAGAAACAGGCTGTTACATGTATATGACTCTGTATTACTCTCTTCCAGAACCTTGATAATTAACTTATGGATAAAACTTCTTTATGTCAGTAAAAATGTGATTTTAAAAGAAGAAACGGTCTATTGCAGACGCAAATGTGATCAGAGTTTGACATGAAAAAAACCCCGTTTTGTCGATTTAAATGACTTATTTTGTTTTAAATTCATAATTCAAGAGTTTTACACACCTGTCTCTCTGTTTCAACAATAGATTAAACAATGAAGATGTATTGTATTTTAACCCTTATATCACCGATGAGTCCTAGAAGGACTAAACAGCTGTATGATGCAGTAACACTCATTTTCGGCTTACTATTACCAAATTCTAAAAGTGCAATCCCCTGTTTGTGTAATACGTTCACCTAACAAAAAAGAGGGAGGGACGTTGTTGATGTTCAAGTTTACCTCTCAATACACCTCTCGTGGTCCATCCTAGCCCGATCTATTGTCTCGATGTCCAAGTCAAGTTCCAGGAAAAATATCACATATGACAGATTTATCTTCTTTGCAATAAGAAGTCTCTCTAATTCCGTTGGGCATCTGTCATCCTCTGTGAAATACAGCAAACATTGAGTGTAAATAACATTTTGTATCAATACAGTTTAGAATTATTTAAAATAAAAAAGAAACCGACATCCCCATATTCATATTCTTGATATATTGAAAACTAATAGGATATGACATCCTGTTATTATATATTTTTACTGTTGTATCTGTACGTATGGTTATTTTATCCAAGTAGAAATTTCAGTGGATAAATTGTAATCAAAAAATGTCAATTGCATTATTGTGTATCAATAGTCTACAGATACAGTTGTTGTTTCTAGTCATACTGACATGTATACGGGTTAGGAACTTAACTTGTCTGGAAAATGGAATACAGGGTAAATTCCATAAAAAAGCACCTGGTATTTTTGATATATGATAGGTGATACAAAGCTATTTAACAGAAGATGAAACAAACGTTGAAGCTGAGTGAAAAAGTTTACTAGTGATACCAATCTCAACTTTATTCGTTACATCGATAGCGAACTTTTTACATATATTATTAACAGCAGCTATTTGTATATTTCATGGTTAACTAGGGTGAATACAAATGGAGGTATTTTCATCCAGTTTGTTATATTGAAAGAATTGTAATTTTGCGTTTTTGTTGACTTTACATTCTTAAACTTTATGAATAATGAGAAAGGTTACATGTTTTGTTTTCGGTAGTTATTATTTTAATTTTAGTGAACATGTCAAGTATCTATAACAGAATGATAGATATAAAGTTAAATAAAATCAAGATTATAATATCAGTGGCAGCACAAACCAACGTAACATTTATTCAAGGAGCAATTGCGCGAATTTCATAAAAGTATATGAGTTATCTTATATAGAAACTATGCTTTATAAGTTTTCCCATATTTTGTAGAGGATATCTCATTTGATGTTCTATATAAGACATCTTATATATTATATAAGATATCTTATACAGAAAACTAAATGAGATATCTTATACAGCATCTCATTTAATTTCCATATATTATATAAGATATCGCATATATCATATAGGATATCTCATATACTATATAAGATATCTCATATAGTGTATAAGATATCTTATATGGTTTTATGAACATTCTGTGTTTTTACCTAAAGCAATGTCGTGCCAAACTATTAATCATAGTTTGCTGCTATACACAAACTTATGGTATATCTATTTATGGTTTGTTTTTTATCTAATGCAAGTTACGCGGTTTACCCTCACAATTGTGTTCCTTTGTGCATGTGTTAAGCGTAAAGCATTTCTCTAACTAAAACTTTGTATGATGATATGACCATAAATAACCAAAAGATCGCGCTTAATGTCTAAATTACATGCTGCATAAGGTTTTCCAACGCATCATGAAATATAAACAGGATGGTTATTCAAACATACAATCTTATAGATGGGTATTTATATGCTTTATATATTTTCATAGATATTTCATGCATTCATTCAAATATTTATATAGAAATCGTTCTATAGAAACTATAACGTTTTCATATGTTTGTGTGACAGAACAATTTATACCTGCGCTTGTTGACCGATGCGTGCCAGGTGTTCCCATTTCACGTAGATGCTCCATGATGTCGTCTGTATTGAAGCCCTGTGATTTCATAGCTTTTAAGAGGAGCTCTTTTTCTGCCATTTTACCTAATTTGTTGCTCCACTTCACAAGAAGATACGTTACCAAGGTTCTGAGACACTCTCTGAACGACCAATATATTTGGTCAATCTCACTTGTGAGCATTCCCAGCTCGACGAACAGCAATGAATAGTTGAGACCAATAAACTTGGCAACATGACTCATCTGTTTGGTAGTGAGGCATGTGTCTAAGATGTCTCCGTAAAAATCTGTACAGACAGATGATTCAGAACAATTATTTCACTGATATCAAAACACATGTAGTAAGAAAAGCTCTTAATTGAAATTGCTAACAAAATTTTATTTAGAGTGTATGTATTTGAATTGAAGAAATGAACTGGATATTTTCCCCCAATTGGTTTTGTTCCGATTTGAAATGTGTGTAAAAATGCAATTCACTTTAAAATACTTACATACTGGATGTTGAGTCTGGAAGTAAATCAAATAAATTGTCATAAAGAGAAGAAAAAATATATATAAAAATATTACGAGTATGATGATCATTTTATGATAATTGACCAAACATATAATTGCTTTGATTATTAGTGAAGTATTGTATACTTATACAATACGAGGATATGTAATATTTACCTCATATTTAAAATATTTAAGTGAAAAGGTTATGAGACCAACACTTTATTAAAGAAAAATGACAAAGGAAGAAGCCTGACAATGAAATCTAAATACAAGGATGAAACAGACCTGGTTTTGTTCAGGACACCACACTGCGACTTCTGCATCAACAGGTGAAGATGTTCGGGCCAGAAGTTCTACCAATACCGTTTCCTCGTTCCTTGTGACCTCGAAGTCTGCGCTGATGAAGTACTGAAACTTCATATGCCTTTGTTTGTACCTTTCAAGCGTTTCCTTAATGATGGCCTCCATGATGCATCGGACACTGTACCCGTCTCCTGCCTTTATTTCTGTGGTTGTGTTGGAGAAAAGAGTGATTTTCATTCTTGAATCCTTACAGTGAAGAATCATCTTCCAACGCGGACTGAGGACGAAGCATGCCAGTCCTTGTTGTAAATACATCTCTTGTTCACCGTCGTCCTTTGCAAAGAGTGCAAATTTATGAATACACGACGCCAGAATCTTGTTGTAAACAGCCGGAGGGATAAACCGCTCCAGGAAGTCGAAGCAAAGCGTTGCACTTTTTACCGCCCCCACATCCAGCAACATTCTTCTGATATGACTTGGATCGGCTTCGTCCAATAGGTAGGGCACGAGGAAGTAGTCAACATTTGTCTCCCCTTCCTTCGGTAGGGGCTTAACGATGAGTTCCAAACGCTCCAGGTAAAACAGGAGTGTGTCCATAAAGAGATGAAACTCGCTTCCAGGTTTCCAAATGGCACGGATGAAATCCATAGTCAGTCTTGGCTTCCCATATTCCTGTTGAAGTGAGGGGTCGACATTTGGTTTTTCTTCGTGGAATTTGATGTCGGTTACAATAAGTCGAAATGCTTCGATGACGAATTTGATGTCCAAAACGACCTTGTCATCTGGATGGTCCAGTTGGAAACAAAGAATGCTTCTTGTTCCATGAAGGTAACTTGAATGTAATAAAGTCACAAAAATAATTATCATCGTGATAACGTTATGATATATATTATAAAGTTTTAAATTGTTACACAAAAAAAGAAATATGAAGCAAATTAATCTTTATGCAAACATATCAAGAAAGCATAAGATAAGAATATGAAATTTAGTATTTTATTCTTAAGGTAAAGGGAACCACTGCGTCCATTGTAATCGCGAGAAAGAGTTCAACTGGGTTTTCTTTTCAGTATTCTCCCTTCTCCCTTAAAAAGATGAAGCAACCAAAAGCAGTTTTTCCTGGCTTTGAGTAACTTTCCCCGTTACTTTTTTCATATGTTTGCGACCCATAAATTTGATATGTGTTTGGACGTTTTGCTTTCCTTTAAAACACCAACAGTAAAATGTTTGCTTTGCAATGTAAACGACCCGAGCCCGATCCCTGCAGTTTGCGATTCTCAATATTCTAATTTTTATTTCCAAATGTTCCATTTCGAACAACTACAATAATGGGAAATGCAGCGCAAAATGCACAATGTTAAAGAATATTTATTTTGAAAAGGATTTCAAAATATTCACAATAGTGCCAATGGTTATAGTATAGTTTAACTTGTTCGTACCCTTTACCTTAAAACCGACTTTCATTAACATACCGTAGCATGGCAATGACATCGTCATCTTCAAGTGGGATCGATAGCTGTTTAGCTTTGTCCTTGATCTCCTCCAAGGTCATCACCTTTTTGCCTTGACCTTTCAGGATCATCAGTTCACGTTCCAGAAGTAACCATTTAGCAGGAAGAAGTTGATTCCATTGTGACTGGTACTCTGCTGCTGCAAATATTTGCTTCCATATGACGGAATGCTGATGATTGTTTTTAATTGGCTTGCGATTGTCGAATGGAGTTTCAGCAAATTTTCGAATGGCGTCTTTGATCTCATCTTCACCATTAGCCACGACCTCAAAAGCAATGACATGTCTATGAAACGCTGTAGCATGTTTTGTTTCCTTTAGTAGATGAGCTTTGACTCTGTCTTTGATGTCACTTTGCTTATTCTGTCAATGAAAATAATATATATGATCACAAAAACTGCCCTTAATATAATACACAAAGTATTGGTACAGCAGTGTACAAATCAAACGGTTGTAGCTTGAGCTGAAGTCAAACCTCGATTGAGAGACGGACATGGCCATAGACAATGAAAATGACAGAGAGGGAACGAGAAAGGAGCCAGACAGAAAACCAGAGACACACAGATAAACAAACAGAGACTTCCATTGATAGACACTGGTTACTGAGACAGCATATAGTTAATATATATCAGTCATATAGAGCCCTATCTAATTTGCAAAATCACTTCAACGCGCAAGATCATATATAATATTTAAAGGGATAATACATCTGAAGTACAAAATTTGTCTACAGTCGTCTATCTTTAAATTTACAAAGGTGACATCTTATTTAAATAACGTCTCATCTAAAGAGAAAAACGTGTAGACGAAAACAGGTGAGTTCAGACACAGATCTTACAGTTAATTTGAGCAAGCTGTGGGTTTCTTTTCAGAAATGAATTATCAAAGCTATTGTCTTGCAAATTGAAGGTTTGAAGACCAAACTTTTTAAGGATCAAGGCAACACTGCCAAAATGCAGGGTTACTTTGGTCCTTAAAATGAGCTTTAACTTCAGGTCTACCTCTGGGACCTTGTCCAAGTGTGTTCCAACCAGTATAACAGGAGGACAATAGTTTTTGTCTTTGTCAGCAAATGTTGAGAGGAAGTTCAACCAAAAGTATATCCGATCTGCAAAATAATGAATATCGCACAAAAAGGTCATGAGTGGTTCTTGTGACATGTTAATCATATATAAATCGACGAGCTAATAATAGGGGTTGTTCTTTTTCTACTCATGATTGTATATATTTATTGTATTCATGACAAAAATAAATAAGAAGTTAGCAACAAACCAAGTATTTTGTCCTCCTCAAATACGTTGTGTAAGCTGAAGCACAACAGAATAACGTTGTTGGTGTTCAGAAAAATATGCTGAAAGTTGCTAAACATAATCTCTCCACCAAAATCAAATATGCTGACATATGCTTTAGATTTTGCTGATCCTAGAGGAGTGATGGTGGTTGCTGACATGGCAGCTCCAGCTTCAGACTTTAATACCGCGTCAGGTTCTTTTTGTAGTGTTCTTTCGGACGCTGGTTTCGTTGTTAATTTCTCGTCCACCCTTTCCTTTATATGACCTGCAATTAAATAAAAATATATATATATATTGCCAAATAAATTTACAGGCAGGTGTGTTATCACCAACTGGCGATTCACTTCTATAAAATATCATTAGCAAATAATGTTTAAACGACAGGCATAGCAAACTTTTTTAATCGTTACTATGTTAATATTGTGTCGCATGACATTATTTAACCCGTCTTATTCAGACGGCATTAATATCAGCTATAAATGCCAAATTAAATCAGTGCAGTGCTTATATATGTAATGTTCACGTAAAGGCATGCATTTCAAAGCCAAAGACAATTATATAACCGTGTTACCTGTTCTTGCCCTTCTTTGATGTGACGACATGGAGTCGATAAGGACGTCACGTAATCTAGACCGTGCCACGTCGTGTTCTAATTCCTGCGGGATTAGCCAACATTTTTCTGTTTCTCGGTCGCCAATAACAATATTTTGGTGAATGTCAACCTGATCTGTTGGTTTCAATAATGATAAGCTCTGTCCGGTTAGACGTAAAATGAGGGTAGTCTTTCCTACGCCTTGATAACCTAGAATGACTATCCGGATATTACGGGACTTTTCAGCCTGTTCTTGAATTGATGCCATGTACTGCCTCGCTGTTGAATTGTCCATTTCTTCGATAGTTTCAAGGAAACGAAGTATATTTTGATTTGGCGATTTGGCTAACTCTTTCGGAAGACCTGCAACAGATACACATTTCACTTATGCCCGTTATAGGCAATTTTTAGTGCAATCACCTGCATATCTAGAATGTGTATTTGATATTATTATATCTATGTTAGACATCATAGTTTGAATTGTGGTTCTTTCAATTTTATTTCAGTGAACACACATCGACAAATAATATGTTTTAATGCTTCATTAGCGAGAATGTTAAACTTTTCCTTCACACATGAAGATTGATGTTACCGCTTAACGCATCTAAGAAACTCAAGCGGTAACGTTCAGTTATATTCTCTGCACCCCTGGGATATGTCATGACGACATTAAAAGCCCTGTACGCTCTACCATGTACAAGTTGACTAGACTGATCCCTTGATGCACACCAAAAGAATCGTGAGGATAGGTGGCGGAGAAATAATCTTCAAAGGACATGTATCAACTTAGTAATTTGTCAGTTTGTTTTCACCTGAAGTCAACCAAATAGCTTAACGTCTGCCTTCGATTTAACGATGACATATTCCAGAGGTTAAAGAACGTAAATAAGCGTAACAAGCATATATTCAAACAGATTATCACTGTTAACTTGAACCAGTTATAACGTATGATTAAAAATATCAAAGGAAATGTATTTGCAGTTTAAGTAATATAAAATATTTTTATTGAACAATTAAAAATCAAAACTATTTAAATTAACAAGCAATTACTACCTGTTGGATTTTTCTGTCTCCATGTCAGGTAATTGTACATCCTTGGGTTACGACGTGATTTCAACAGAAGTCTTTCATAATCAATGTCCTGCCTATGACGGATGAAAAGCTCCAACACGGCAAGAATATACGCATCATCAAATACGCTGAAGTGACAAGCCTGCATGAGAGGGGTACGACTTGGTACGTATTTATTAACCTGTGACAGAAGGAAAGCGTGTGTTTGACAGAGACGAGGTACAGCTTCTGCCACGCATAAGGCACCATAACTGGCGTCAAAACTGACACAGTAGTGGTATATGTTATAACCATTAGTGTCTCTCCACGTGGCCAGGTCAAGGCCGTCACGGATCCACGCCTCGATTTGGGCAACATCACCCTGACGGATAACACCCTCCATCGCATTGTCACTGATCACCTTCAGATCACCCATCGTAATAATGACTGTAACATACAACACAAGAACACAAAAAAAATATACAGTTGCTTCATCACACAACGCACAAAATGACCGTGCACAAATCCGGGAATACATCGTGCGATTTTAGTGCGCATACGTGTGCGATATAATGATGTATCGTACCATTGTGCGATAAAACGTGCACATGTTTACTATAAGGTAAGTTTACGGGGGTAAAATATGGAAGGCTCGAGTGAAATAAGGTATATCTTATTTCACTCGAGCCTTCCATATTTTACCCCCGTTAACTTACCGTATAGTACACATGTGCACGTTTTATCGCACAATGGTACGATACATTAGCAAAAAAGCCCGGGCTTACACATCATTTTTGACAAATATTTTTTTTATAAACGCACCATAGACTATATGATATGCTAATTATCGGTGTACCCAAACACTAACTCTAGTTTTCCCCGTGAAATAAAGTGTTTCTAAGGTTTTTTTACACATAGTCCCCCTAGTGCTAGCTTATGATACTAGTCTCATATCCCTGCGCAACCGGAGTCACATGCGCGAGGAGAAACGTCACACTCTTACAACAACTATTCCAAAATCCACATGATTTTAGATTTTTCTTTTCCGTGGAATAATGTTACCGAACTCTATAATAGAATTGGCGTAGATGAGTACCAATCCCTACGTACCCAAAAAGAAGCAAAATATTTGTAAAATAAAATGGGAAAACGATATTTTCTTGCTTTAAAGCCATTAAAACTGACGCCAGAACAAGGGAGAACGCGTCTCATGTGTTCTAGAAAACAAAATTCTCATGGGGGAGACCCCCCAGACCCCCACCAATGAGAGGGGGGAAAACCCTCCCATACCCTCACCCTCCTCGCGCTACGCGCTTCGGGGTTCTGCTTTCGGCAGCACACTTCATCATTGGGCTTACACATTGAAAACCCGTTTGTTACGCCCCTGGTATTTGATATCCAATTGGTATATTTTTCACTCTTTGTTATACACGTTACACGTTTGCTACACGTTATGACAAAACCTGTAAAACTGTCAACAATGGGTTTGTACTTTCATTCAGGTACCGTACTACATGTAGTGCACGTAGGTAGTTAATTGTATGGAGTTATTGGTCGATTGGAGTTCATCACTGATTTGAACGGTATTAAAACACAATTCGTACGTGTGTATGACCATATCTATACACACGGGTCGATTCAGGTCGTTTCAAAACAATTGTGGTACGTTATGTGTCCATCAATTTTTCTGCTAGGTAAATAGATAGCCATGTAAATCTGGCTGATATATTGGAACATACTTAAATCAGGAAAGATGTAAGTTTGAAAACGAAATCGATTTATTCACAGACCATTCCTTAATATATACCAACCACGATATATGTCGCACAGTTATGCGCATGCTATTGTCGAATAGTTGTGCATGGTGGCTCACTGTGCGCAGACAGCACATCATGTAACGTTGTGATATCCCACAACTGTATTCACATAATCATTATCTTCCAAATAGACCGATGTTTGCTGGATTAGTTTTGTCTACCACTGGTAAAAATACTTTCCAAAATATTACCGTTATCATCTTTAAAGTAAGTGTAATAAGGATCAACAATTGTTCGAACCAGAAACAACGTTACTGCCAGCCTGGATGTCGTGAAAATTTGCATCTTAGCAATGTTGTTACCTACGTACTTATCTAGATGTAATACACAGCCCCCACTACATACATCTTTGTAAATATTATATGCAATGCATTAATGGCAGAAAGACAACTGTTTTTATTTGTGAATTATAATTTATGAACATAAAACATACATTAATTGTCAAAGCAGGTGGGGGTGTAATTGTATATACGATAAACCAAATTGTACTGGAGTATAGAACCCAAAGTACATATTTATTTTGTTTTGCTTTTATATGTTCCGCATCTTCCGTAATGGACATAATCACAATAGGATTTAAATAAACAATATAAATAAACATTTTAATACCTATGATCTGGTTCAAATCGGATACTAGTTTAACGTACAGTTAAATACAGCGAATCTCTATTTGTATTTTCTTTTGCCTATATCAGTTTTTTGAAAACATGAAGTATAGACACATACTGTTAACTTCTTTAAGCCACCATTTAATTTATGTACCAATCGTGATTCTAGATGCAGATCAGCACAATTGTCATATGAGTTCATTGATTGTCATTTTTCAATTTTTCCTAACTGCTTGGCAAGTTTTTAACATATAACAAACAAGAGATCCCAGAGGGATCTTGGCGCCCTCCTTTGTAACATCTTCATTAGTTCTTTGTCAGTTCGATCTTTTCTCTTCTTTCCTCTTATCTGTTTGATCGAGTCATGTTAACAGTAAATGCACCTTGAGGTAACTTTTGATCTAAACTTAAACTGATGTGTATGAAAACCAACCTTCAAAGTGAGTTTGTCATTTCACATATTTACTAGTACAGTACTTAAATTAAGTAAAAGAAATAGAATCGATCATTGCAATATGAGAAAGATCTGTTTAGTTCTTCTTTTAGTCAATTTTGTTTTTATGATCAGTCTCAAAATATAACATGCACAACGAGAGATCAAGGGGAACCTAAAAATAAAATTTGAGAAAGATCCCTCCCGTGCTTCCCGAAAAATAGCGATAACAAACTTTCACTATCAAAATCCAAGATGGCTGCCTGTCGGCAATGTTGTTTATCCGATCAGTCTCTAAAATTGCCCTGCACAGCTAGGACCAAGGGGAACCTACATATAAAATTAAAGAAAGATCCCTCTAGTTCATGCGGAGAAATAGCGGTAACAAACCTACACTATCAAAATCCAAGATGGCTGCCTGTCGGCCATGTTGTTTATCCGATCAGTCTCAAAAAATGCCATGCACAGCTAAAATCCAAGGGGAACCTACATGTAAAATCTAAGAAAGATCCCTCTGATACTTCCCGAGAAATAGCGATAACAAACTTTCTATATCAAAATCGAAGATGGCTGCCTGTCGGCCATGTTGTTTATCCGATCAGTCTCAAAAGTTGCCCTGCACAAATAATAACCAAGGGGAACCTACATATAAAATTTAAGAAAGATCCCTCTAGTTCTTCCGGAGAAATAGCGGTAACAAACCTACACTATCAAATTCCAAGATGGCTGCCTGTCGACCATGTTGTTTATCCGATCAGTCTCAAAAAAGGCACTGGACAAATAATAATCAAGGGGAACCTACATATAACATTTTAAAAAGATCCCTCTGATGCTTCCCGAGAAATAGCGATAACAAACTTTCTATATCAAAATCAAAGATGGCTGCCTGTCGGCCATGTTGTTTATCTGATCAGTCTCAAAAGTTGCCCTGCACAGCTATGGACCAAGGAAAACCTACATATAAAATTTGAGAAAGATCCCTCTAGTACTTCTTGAGAAATACCGATAACAAGAATTGTTTAAGGACAGACGACGGACGGCGGACGACGGACGACGGACAGACGACGGACCACGGACGCAGGGTGATTTGAATAGCCCACCATCAGATGATGGTGGGCTAAAAAGATGAAATATTTGTGCAAATCATGAAAATATCATACATTTCAAGGCTGTCATATTCTGGCTATCAGATGAAAAACTACTCATTATTTTAACTGAGGTTTTTTATGCTTATATTGGTGTTCTTTAGGATGTTTAATTCTTTATTTTTAAGTAGCAATTCCTCAAATTTCTATTGCCGATGTAACTCCTTTATGCAAAGAATTATTAAATTTAGATAATGGGAAAGCTCCTTTAACATGTGGTTTTATTTCACGTCTCCAACTTTCTTGTTTACTATACCCTTCCTTTCCTACACATATAGCTGCACATACAAGTTACCATACCTGTACGACTCCCTAGAGGCTGCTTCATATAGGACTCTAGATCTCATGTTTATCAAGTTGTTTTACCATACTTTTAAAATACTAACAGCGAAAACAGACACAAAGTTAGTTTTCATTTTATTCTAACTCGGTATTAACGTATTTTCTCTGTTAAACTACTCCTGATCAACATATTTTGTGACTGCCAATATTCTGGCATGACGTGTGATGCCTGTACAAACTGTAAAATCCAACAATAAGAAAATAAATAATTATTGTAGTTTCACAAACCTTTTATTTACGCTTCGTCCACAAGTAACGGATGTAGGTATTTTTTTCAAACCCGTAAGCGGATGACCAGTAAACACTTTGTCCACTTCCGGCGCTTCCCCATGCCTGAAAGCATTCAGGGAAATTGAGGTCACACACGATCTACAAAAAAAAACACCCAATAAGCCCTTACGTTATCAACATTTATAACATTTTACCAACGAAAAACCAGGAAGTATCAAATTGAAAATAACTGTATCTTCACTGCAGTTAAGACATACGAAATGTTTTATCTTCACATGATACATAAAGATATCACTTTACGTACTGTCCAATCAGAACGTTACTTTCTATTCACTACATAGATTTTCAAATTCAAGTTCAGATAAAGCGACGGTAGAATTATAAACATTAATTATAGTATTTACATATATCTACTAAATTATTGTAATACCTGTACGGAAATCTTAACAGATAATACAGCAAACGGCAGAGTTGCGTTGAGTGACCATTTCACAATGGCACTCAGCTTTAATCTGTTGCCAAGCGTAAGCGTGACATCATTAAAGGCCAAGGAGGGGGTATAAAAGGGAGACAACTTGGAAAATGGCTGGAAATACAAATGTTGGCAGCCTTCACTTTTTTCATTTAAAAATCATTCTGTGTCAATTTGTAGTCCTGTCAGTCAAATTTGAATTTTTTCGTTTGCCAAACCGGATGTTGAGACCGGAAGTTTACAGCTGTGTTGTTGCTACGGCCCTAGCAACGCATGCTGAGTAAACAAAACACCCTACCTAATCACCATTTTGGCGGCAATGTCCAGAAACTAGATCCCTCAGCATCATAACCATGAATGTAATCCAATTACCAGAGCCATTAACACATATCTTCAGTTCTATACTATTTATTATCCATGTATAATGTTTCCAACTTAAATTTGACCACACAACCAGGTCTACACAGTGCCACAGATGCACCAGTTACCCCCACATATGACCCATGTAAGGGATATTGTCGGGATTTGGAAACCAAAATCTCACCAGCTTTACAATACAGTCCGGCATGATTTCTCTACGATGATGCACTACATTATGTTGTCTGAGAGCTGCTAGTTTCCTAACAATGTATCTCTCATCATGAAACACATTTCTGTGATAGAGAGATGTCCAAAATCTCTTATAAAGCTCCTTTTTTCTGATATTGTTTAATTTATCCTTTTTGTGTAGTTTTGTTTCCCACCACAGCTGCATGTTTCTTTCACTTGTAATACATGGTTTACATAAACAATGATCACACTCTGGTTCATCTTTATCCTGTTCAATACAAAATGGTTGTGCCGGAGTCACATAGTTTTGCATATCTTCTCCAATTTCAATATCTATTAAATCCTCATCACCAGTTTGTGTTGAAGCATCGTATTTTTCACATGGACCATGAGGGCCTTCAGATGCTGCCATGATCCTTATTATCAATGAATTGGAGGGGAAAGTCCGAGGCCTGGTCACTGTAAACTGTGTGTGTGTGTATGTGTGTTGGGGGTGGGGGGTTACTATAAAGTAAATGGAGGGCTTGGCATCTTGTTTGATGTTTCAGGGGGATGCTGAAGGGAACAATATATTACTGACATCATGTTGAAACTTGAAAGATCCCTGTAAGAATAGTGTAAATATGCTTAGGTAATTGTTCAGGGATTTGGGATGAGTAGGAAATATCATGCTGTCTTGCTTTAGGGTGATGCATGGTCAGCTTAGGGTACCCCACTGGGACCTAGCTGAGCTGGACACTAACACAGTGTTGCAAACTTGTAATATCTATTGATAGGTAAGGGTCCTTAGGGGGGGGATTCAGTGGTGGTTTGTGAACTATATTAAAAGGCACCTCGGTAGCCAGGGAGATCAAACCTGGAGGCTAGGGAGTCAGGGAACTTAGGTATACAGAGAGTCAGGAATAGGAACATATTGTACCGTGGACTTCGGAGAATATCATTGATCGTCAAACTGTCATATAATTTAGCCGAAGATTGAGCATCAAACATGGCAGAGAAAAGGAAACGACCACCAAGTTTTAAATTAGAAATACCAGCAGATGATATTAAGAAAAACATTATGCAACAGAATTTGAAGAAAGTAAGGGACATGATATCACGGCAGGCAGGACATCCTGTTAACAATGGAGATATAATGACTGAAGTGTTGGCTTATTTTCTACAGGGACATAAGGGTCAGGAAAAACAGCAAGAATGTCTCAACTTCAATACTTACATACAAGCTGGTGAATCAAATACTGACCAAAATATTTTTCTTACTACACAGTCGTCTGTGGAGAAACTGTGTGAAGTGACACAAAATCACTCAAGGATATGCAATGGAAATGTATGTGTTCAGAAATTGACCATGAAAGGCCATGTCGCTGCACTTCGATTAAACTGTAGCAAAGACAAATGTCATAGCATTGTGTGGTCTTCATCACCATATCTACCCAACAACAGGTATCTTGTGAATTACAGGATTTACCACGGGATGATCTGTAGTGGAATGCTTCCGATTCACTACACACGGCTTTGCAATGGAGCAGGACTTGGATGCATAACAAAGGAGAAACGAAAAGAATTCTATGAAATGCATTCCACTGCCATCCGACAAGAATATGAAGACAGTACTGAAACTGCTGTCTTGGAGGAAGTTGGGAGTTACGAAGACCTGGACGGCATAGATATAATGACAGATGCAAGACACGGTTGGCGTAAGAATGCCAATGATATCAGTGTTGTAGTTATTGGTCAAAACTCTTATAAGGTCCTCAGACATATTCATGTTACAAATGCAGATGACCCAGTATCCCAGCGACACGAACAATTTGGCACTGTGAAATTTTATGAAGAAATGAATGAAAATGTTGTCACCATCAATGCACACACACACGACAGAAACATGGCAATCAACAAATATGTCAGAGAAACAGGACACTCAACAAACCAAAAACGATAGCTGGCATGCAACAAAGAGCCTGAAAAGGGCATTGCACAATGTGTCAACAGGGCCGCTATATCAAAAAGGGAAAATTTGGTCACCTCTTCTTCAGGACAAAGTTAAAACGACACTCACACATGCGTTCTGGTGTATGAAAAATTGCAATGGGGACCCTGAGATCCTGAAACGGAACCTTCTCAACATCATTGAGCATTACAAAGGAAATCACGCGGGGTGTTATGCTGAGAGTAGATGCAGGAAAGATAAAAATTATGAACCATCTAGACAAATTCTTTCAGATGCAGTCGCCACAAAACTCCTCTTCAAAGTGCTTACAAGTTTTGTGTTGTATAAGAGTCCACATGATTTTGTCCTTGCACGAGACACATTTTATGTTGAAAGTTTCAACAACGTGATGAACATTTTTTATGATAAATGGATTTCATTTAGTGACAAACAATATGAAACACGATCTGAACTTGCAGTGTGTCACTGGAACACCAATGTAGACCGTAAATACACATCTATCAATCGAAAAAACATTCCTAGGGCATAGAGAACAGCAAAAGGAAAAAAAAGTGTATAGTGCATTGAGGTCAAACATATGGAACAGAAGGATGAAGATTGTGTCTGACTTATGAGTTATCACTCTGTGTTTGTAGAACTAAAATAATATGATTTTGGGATTTATTTCACACTACAGTAAGTACGTAGACTTTATTTAAGCATGCAATCTCAAAGACGTGTTATGAGCTAGTGGTCTGGCACATGTATGACCACGTGTATGTGTTTACAATTTGCTGCTGCTAGGGAGTTTACTGATAAGAGCTGCTAGACTCCGCCTCCTACAGATCATCACTGATAAGAATCCGTACGGATTTTAAACTAGGTCGTCCTTGGCCTTTAAAACCAGGCGTTAAATATAGCACGACAAATTACTACACTTTTCGAAGGAGCAATACATGCGACGAGTTACTTTAAACAACAGGTCTAATAGGCCTACATCGCTAACCTGGTATTGATCTCACACTTGTAACATGAAAAGTGGACTAAGTAAAGGCATAGGCAAAATATCAGTATTTACGGTGAATGACAAAACAACCTGTTAAAAGATTTTAAAACATTTGACCCCTGTGACCTTGAAAGTCGAACAAGCTCATTACGTTGAACAAACCTTATAGCCCTTCATCCCAGCATGCAATTTGCCAAATAACACCACATTAGACCTCTTGTTTAATGAGATTATGCAATTTAAATGTTTATACATATCTGACCAAATGTGACCTTGTAAGTGGGTCAAGGTCATTCAAATGACTTAAGGTGGCTCCACACTTTCGCAATTAACCAGCAAAATTCGTTGAAACTTTCATATAATTGTTATGCAACTATGTCGAGTTGATTTTATGAAAATCTAAACATTCCGATAGTTTGGGGACTTTTTTGGAAAAAATACCAAAAAATTGAATTTTCGTCAATTCTAATATTTTCCGGTTTTTTTTGTGTGTGGCATTGTTCGGAACAATAACAACAATAATAAAATGAAAAGAAGCATTTCTAATTAACCCTACAAATATTTTATTTATCGCAAAATATGTAACACATGTTACACAAAGTGTTTTTTATTGAATTTGTACGGATAAAAGTGATTATCTACAAGCTAAAAGCACCCAGGACACAAAGTTCTATACATATAGAGTGGGAAATTGAACAAAATATACACAATGGCTTTATAATTAATTTATTTTACATTTTACAATCACTTTGATCCGGGTGAGAGTTATCTTCCTTGAAAAAAATCGGAACTTTTTGCAGAGGGGTGACATTTACACAATGACAGTTGTCTCTGTTTACATATAACAAAAATGATGGAAATAAATCAAAAATATGATATCAAAATTATCAATTTATTGTTCTTTAATGGAACCAAATTACCCTCAGTCATGTACACTTTGGACATCATTCCACAGTCCGCTAACTCACGGTATATTTATAATTACATGTCAGGTCAGAGGCTATCGCATGGTATACCGTTCTCACGTGCACTCACACATGCATTTCATAGGTATCTTGATATTTTACAAAACATTATTTTCACAGAGTAAGCTAGTAGACTACATTTGTAAACACGATTTAATCGACAGAGCGAAACTCCCTCAACAGCGAAAATCGTAACGACCTCGAGCTTATGAACTCGTGTAAACACGCGATATGCACATGTGAGGTTGGTACGTCCGCATTCCATGTGTTTCCTATATGACCTTCTTGAGGTCGTCTGGTCTCATGTCACTGTCTTCCCGTGAGTCTGTTTATGTCTATGAATTGGAAAGCTTTATTCCTGAAGTACGTGTGAGTATACATTTCCCGGTAAAATCTTGATATCGGGTGTTGACATATCATCGGCACGCACGTGTACTATTGTTTACCATGGGCCTGTTCGTTTATGCGGAACAACCGGTTTGACCGTTTATAAATGTAACAATTTCGGGTGTAAATCCTGGCGGACCTGCAAATGTGTATGCAGGCCTTGCAAGGCTTTCTCAAGACTCGCCTGAAAGCAGCATCAGATTACTAGGTCCGACCTTATTTAATAAACGAACAACAGTGGTCCGATCGGTTTGACCGTTTAAACGAAAACGGCCCAGCAGGTGTTACTATAATTTGCACTACGATATTGAATGCCCGATACGCAATACGGAAATGACGACACGGTGTACATGCACATTTCGATTAAGATAATTGAGTCCTAGCTGTACTTTTTCCGGAAGTATGTCACGAAAATGGACGCTGATGACGATGTGTCGAGCCACCTTAATAGTCCTTCATCCAAATATCAACTTTCTGACCCTTGCGACCTTAAATATGAGACAATGTCATTCATTTGAACAAACTTAGTAGTCCTACAACCAAGCATGCTTATGGCGAAATATCATCATCCTGGGCCTTTTGGTTATTCAGCAGTCGTGAAAATTGTTTAAACATATTTTACCCCTGTGACGTTGAATATAAGTCAAGGTCGTTTATTTCAACAAACTGAGTAGCTCTTCATTCAAGCATGTTAATGGCCAAATAGCATAATTATGGGCCTCATGGTTGTTCAGAGGATGTCGCTTAAAGATTTTAAACTTCTTCGACCGCTGTGACCCTGTATATAATTTAATGTCATTTATTTGAACAAACCTCTGTAGCCCATCATCCACGCATACTACTGGCTAAATATCATTACCCTCGGCCTTTTGGTTATTTAGAAGAAGTTGTTTTAAACAAGAGGCCCAATGGGCCTTCATCGCTCATCTGGTATACATCTCACATGTGTAACCTTAAAAGTGAACTTAAATAAAGCTAAAGGCAAACTATCAGTATTTATGGTTAAAGTAATTCAAAAGAAACTGTTGAAAGATTTAAAAGCATTTCACTCCTGTGACCTTGAAAGTCGAACAAGGTCGTTAGTTTGAAAAAATCTTATAGCCTTTTATATTAGGATGCAACTTGCAAAACATCACCTACCTATACTTTTGTTTATTGAAATAAGGTTATTCAAATGTTTAAACATATTTGAGTAAATGTGACCCCGAACGTGGGTCAAGGTCATTCAAATGAAAAAGCTTGATAGCCCTTTCATCAAAGCATGCTACTGGCTTAATATCAACATTCTGGGCCTCATGGTTATGCAGAAGAAGTTATTTAAAGATTTTAAACAAATTTGACCTCAGTGACCTTTAAGGTCATTCACTTGAATAAACTTGGTAGTCCTTAATCCCACCATGCTACTGACAGATATCAACATTCTAGGCCTTGTGGTTATGCAGAAAAGGTTGTTTAAAGATTTTAACATATTTGACCCCTGTGACTTTGAATATAATTCAAGGTCATTCATTTGAACACACTTGGAAGCCCTTAATCCCATCATATTACTTGCAAAATATCGTCATCCTGCGACTTTTGGTTATTCTGAAGAAGTTGTTTTAAGATTTTGAACATATCTGATCCTTGTGACCTTGAAGGTAGTTCATTTCATAATTGTTGTAAAACAAATAAAGTTTATATTATATATTGTGACCTTGAAAATAAGTCAAGGTCATTTATTTGAACAAAATTGGTTGCCCTTCATTCTAGAATGCTACTGGCCAAATATCATCATCCTCGGCCTTTTGGTTATTTAGAAGAAATTGTGTAAAGGTGTTTTTAAACATATTTGACCCCTGTGACCTTGAATATAAGTGAAGGTCGTTCATTTGAACAAACATGGTAGCCCTTCACCCAAACAGGATACTGGTCAAATCTCATCACCCTGGGCATTTTGGTTATACAGAAGAAGTTTTATAATGCTTTTAACATATTTGACCCCTGTGACCTTGAATATCGGTAAAAGTCATCCATTGTAACAAACTTGGTAGCCCTTGATTTCAGCAAATTACTGATCAAATATCATTATTCTAGGCGTCTTAGTTATTCAAAAGAAGTTGTTTAAAGTTTTAAACATATTTGACCCCAGTGACCTTTAATAGAATTAAAGGTCGTTCATTTGAACAAAATTTGTTGCCTTTTATCCTAGCATGCTACTGGACAAATAGCATTATCCTAGGTCTCTTAGTTATTCAGAAGAAGTTGTTTAAAGGTTTTAAACATTTTTGACCCCTGTGACCTTGAATCTAAATAAAGGTCATTTAGTTGAACAAACGTGATAGCCCTTCATCCATAGCATGTTACTGGCTAAATATCATTATCCTATGTCTCTTAGTTATTGAGGAGAAGTTGTTTAAAGATTTTTTAAGGCAATTGACCCATGTGACCTTGACAATGGATGAAGGTCATTCATTTGAACAAACTTGGTAGCACTTTATCACATCATGTTACTTGCCAAATATCGTCAACCTGCGACTTTTAGTTATTCTGAAGAAGTTGTTTTAAGATTTTGAACATATCTGATCCTTGTGACCCTGAAAATAATTCAAGGTAATTCATTTTTACAAAGTTGGTTGCCCTTCATTCTAGAATGCTACTGGCCAAATATCATCATCCTCGGCCTTTTGGTTATTTAGAAGAAGTTGTGTAAATGTGTTTTTTAACATATTTGACCCCTGTGACCTTGAATATAAGTGAAGGTCGTTCATTTGAACAAACTTGGTTGCCCTTCACCCAAACAGGATATTGGTCAAATCTCATCACCCTGAGCATTTTGGTTATTCAGAAGAAGTTGTATAATGCTTTTAACATATTTGACCCCTGTGACCTTGAATATAGATAAAGGTCATTCATTGTAACATTCATTGTAACAAACTTGGTAGCCCTTGATTTCAGCAAATTAATGACTAAATATCATTATTCTAGGTCTCTTAGTTATTCAGAAGAAGTTGTTTAAAGGTTTTAAACATATTTGACCCTTGTGACCTTGAATCTAAATAAGGTCATTCATTTGAACAAACTTGGTAGCTCTTCACCCTTAGCATGTTACTGGCCAAATATCATTATTCTAGGCCTCTTAGTTATTGGGAACAAGTTGTTTAAAGATTTTTTAAGACAACTGACCCATGTGACCTTGAAAATGGATGAAGGCCATTCATTTGAACAAACTTGGAAGCCCTTCATCCCAGCAAGCTACTGGCCAAATATCACCCTGGGCATTTTGGTTATTCAGAGGAGTTGTTTAAAGTTTTTAACATATTTGACCCCTGTGATCTTGNGTCTCAACCTTTATCTTGAACTCAAAAAGATTTATTAACTAGAATTATCTATATCAACTTATATTATAATGTACTATAAATAATCTAATATTGTAAACATGAACAGCAAACATGCTTATGGTTATAAATATTATTAATCGCTTTCTATAAACACAGTGTGAATATGATACACTCACCCCTTAAACCAACATGGACTTGTGTTTTGTAATTAATAACAAATAGTTGTATAATTATATTTTCAATGTATTATAATGTGAATGTTAATATACCATACAATATTGACATAGATTATTCACGATATTTAATTATATAAGCCTAATCTTCAACTACATGTATCTATGAGTCACTCTGTGTGGATTTTGAACTCCCAGGGAGAATCTAGTCAAGGAATATGTCAAAAACCCACTCAATACTCTGGTGAGGTCAAGAAGTAGCAAAGCTTGACTTGTGACCTTTCATAAGCTGTTAGAGTTATCTCCCCTATACCATATGACTTGCACATTGATATCTGTTTTGTATATTAGTTGTCTCTTTTCAATTTTTCATTTCACTGATAAATTACAATATATTTATATGCTGATCTATACAAATGCATGTAGGAGAGAACTGATATAGGCATAGCCTGTTGTTCGATCCAATTCATACAACATCATGAATAAAATTTGTTGAAATGAACATCTTATCGTGCGAATTACATGTATCTGTTGAGGAATTACACGTGTATATCACGCCATTCCAAGTCCTTAATCTTTCAGTTCTAGTATGTGTCAAAGAGTTATCAGGAAACATCGAGAGATATCCAAACACCATCATTTTTCCAGACACATTCACTGACACTAATTTAGTACGATCAATAACAAAATACTACACGTACACAGACAATCGTTAACGTTCCGTCTAAACTATTGTAACAAACAAATCAAAGAAGACAGGCTACCATAACTTCAACAGAGTATAATGTACGGTGTTACCTTATATTAAGAGCCGACAGGAAGTGTAGCGTGTTCCCGTTTTTAGTTGTTTTGTTTATCTCAGATGGTTGATATAAATTGCGGATTTCATCAATGTCCTTAAAAGTTAAGGACCCCTGTCCCGCTTCTGGCAAATAACTACATAATTATATAGTGGCTTTTCATGCATTCAGTAACATCTACTTAATGACGGATATAAGTGTAAAAAAGTGATATTTATGAATGAATGACCGGTCAGGTATGAATCCGAGAGTGTATTTATTTTAGGTAAATTTATTAATGTAAATATTTTGTTGTCTGTATGTATTTAAACTTGGTTGCCTTGTATTATTTACCTCGTGTCGGGCAATGTTAACAACCGCTAGCTTCTGCTGTAATCCGGGCGTTTAAAATAATTCACTTCCGTTGCTTTCACTTTCTTATTTTCCGCTGCAGTGTAAAGAGTGCTTTCATTGGTGAATTGGTTCCCATTATGTAAGTTCTATATAAACCCGGGTATTCGATAGTTGCTTTAGGTAGGAATGGTTGCTTTAGGTAGGAATGACGGGATAAGCGATTTTGAACTAATTATCAATAGCTGTTTATCTGACACAGCTAATAGGGTAATAATAACAATATCCTATCAATCAAAACAATACACAAATTTAATTAACTATTAAAAAAACAAAAAAACATTTCACTTCCGGTTGATATAGGAAAGCTGAAGCGTATGTGTTCTGGCCACGTGCGGGAAGTTCCGTTTTTAAAAAGGACGAGTCTTCCACCCCACAGCAATCTTATGTCTAATCGAGTATAATATTATATATATATGTATTCATGAGTGGATACACATGATTACATTTATATGTAACGCCGGGGGCGATGCACAATCTGAAGCGGCACGCCGTATTTAGACTGTACAAAGCCTAAACGACGGATAAAAATTAGGATAGAACTGTATTACCACTATAAACTGTATAATACGACCCATAGAATAGGTCCTTTCGCTCATTCGGCATAAAACCTACAAGGTTAGCGCGGGTAAAGGAGGGAAGCCGACAGTGCTATATGGACCTATTAGTTAGGTAGGAATAACGGGATAAGCGAATCTTGAACTAATCATCAATATATGTTTATCTAACACAGTTAATAGGGGTAATATTAATAATATACAATAAATCAAAATACTCAGACCGTTTTTTTTAAACCAATAACACAGCGATATTATACCTAATAAAACGTAATATATACACAATGTATGGTATTTTTTCAAGAACATAAGCCAGCTGAAATGCAATGAAACATACACAAATGTCCGGGTAAATAACGACCTCACGAAAAAGGAACGAGAACAGGAAATCGCCTTAAGAGACGAGGCAAATACAAGAGAAAGGAAGGAATCGGGGGAATATATCCACCGTGTCCGCGGGCCACCATGGAACAGAAAAATCGTCAGGCTGGCAGCCAAAAAGCCATAGCGAATCTCCGATGTATGTTCACAAACGCAGATACCCTTACAAACAAAATTGATGAGCTCAAATGTATAATCAACAAAGATAAATTAGATATAGTTGGAGTTGTGGAGGCGTTTCCAAAAAAATCCAGATACCGACCGAATAAATCAATCAGAGCTTAACATAGATGGTTTTGACATATTCCACGGAGAAATAAAACAAGAAACTGGATTTAGAGGAATCATCATTTACACTGCTCAACACTTGGGAGCTACGGAAGTATCGATCAACGAGAAATTTACAGAGCAATTGTGGATTAAAATTAACCTTGACAAAGGAAATATACTAACAGTGGGGTGCATCTATAGAAGTCCTAACAGTGTAGATGAAAATAATATGGAGCTATGTGCGTTACTTGCGGATATAAGAAAAATACAGACTTCACATTTATTAATCATGGGAGACTTTAACTTAAAAAATATAGATTGGATTCGATGGATCCCGTCTAAGGGAGCAAAACATTTGGAGGAAAAATTTATTGAGTCAATTAGAGATTCATTCCTATTTCAACACATCAATGAGCCAACAAGAATAAGGATAAATAACGAGCCCAGTATATAAGATTTGATATTTACAAACGAGCAAGACATGGTAAGTAACCTTAAAATAAAAAGTGGAATTGGCAAGAGCGACCATGGCACCATTTACTTCGTCTTCAACTGTACAAGGACTTACCCAAACAGTATAACAACCAAGTATAACTACAACAAAGGAGATCATGAGCAAATAAGGAAAGACCTATCAATAGATTGGAAGGAAACATTAGGACGCGCAGCAGAAACGGATCCAAATATGAAATAGTTTACAATGAAATAAAATCCACCATTGAACGAAACATACCAAAATCAGTTCAACGATCAATGAAGAACCGGAAACATACAGATGCCCAAACCGTTCATGCAATACGGCGAAAACACAGGAGTTGGCAGAGATATCTTGAAACAAGAGACGGAGAGAAATACAAGGAATACGTAAGAGCCAGAAATGAAGTAAAAACATTAGTAAGAAATTGTAAAAGGAACCTGGAAAAAGACATTGCTCAGGAAGAGAAGATCAACCCAAAGAATTTTTGGAATTATGCGAGCTCAAAAACAAAATCAAAATCTGGAATTTCAGAACTACACGTTACAAATGGAGGAAATACACTAATAGCTCAACACGACAAAGATAAAGCCAACGTATTAGCAGATTTTTTCTCAGGTGAATTTACGGTTGAACCGCAAAATTGTATACCTGTTCTAACAGATATCAATATACCAACTCCATACTATAATACTAAAATAACGGAGGCAGAAATATTAACCATCTTAAAAACTTTAAATCCTGCAAAATCACCGGGACCAGATACCATCCACCCTAAAGTACTAAAAGAAACTGCTGATATAATAAACACACCATTGTGTGAAATATTCAACAAATCTCTAGAGACAGGAGAACTTCCGGCCAGCTGGAAGGAGGGACAGATAACCGCCATCCATAAAAAATGGGATAAGAAAAAACCCGGGAACTATAGACCTGTAAGTCTGACCAGTGTACTATGTAAAACTATGGAGAAGATGATAAGAACAAGAATAATGAGCCATTTGGAGAGAAATCAACTTCTGAGTAAACATCAATATGGATTCGTAAAAGGTAGACTTTACTTGTACTTCAGCTGTTAAAAGTAATTGACGACTGGACGGAGGCTCTCGACCAAGGGAGATCAATCCAAACAGTTTATCTTGATTTTATGAAGGCCTTTGACACTGTTCCCCACTTACGTTTAATAGGCAAATTAAGATCATACGTACTATCACCGGAAATTGTACGGTGGGTACACAGTTTTATAACAAACCGGAAGCAGAGAGTATCAGTCAATGGTGAAACGTCTTAATGGATGGAGGTAACTAGTGGGATTCCACAGGGTAGTGTTTTAGGGCCATCCTTATTTGTAATCTACATAAATGACCTCCCAGAAACAATCAACGCAGCAACATTCTTGTTCGCAGATGATACACAAATTTACAATTATGATCAAAATATTACCCTACAGGATGATCTTGACTAGCTCCAAGAATGGTCAGATAAATGATTGTTAAAATTTCACCCCGACAAATGTAAAGTATTAACCTTAGGAAAGAACATAAACAACGCGCCACTACATAATGTCACTTTGGAAAACATAACAAAAGAAAAGGATCTAGGAATTATTACGGACAATCACCTAAATTTCAGCGATCATATCCACGAATCGGTCAATAAAGCAAACAGAATAATGGGAACTATCCGAAGAACTTACACATATTTAGACAATACAACATTCTGTCTTTTGTATAAAGCGCTTGTAAGACCGCACCTGGAATACGGGGCCAGCGTATGGAATCCATACCTACAAAAACACATAAATGAACTGGAAAATGTACAAAGAAGAGCGACTAAACAAAAACCGGTAATGAAGGAGTTGAACTATGATCACAGATTAAGGATATTAAAACTACCAACACTCAAGCATAGAAGACTGCGAGGAGACATGGTTCAAGTGTACAAACTAACTCACGGAGGATACGATAACGCGGTCAGCGAAGGATTTTTATGCCTAAATAATAACAAAAGAACAAGAGGCCACAGTCTCACACTACTAAAGGGGATGTGCAGGTTGAACTTAAGAAAATATGTTTTTAAAGAACGTATTGTAAACCACTGGAACTCACTACCCGATACTGTCGTCACCTCACCAACAATTAAAACATTTGAATCCCGCCTGGATAAGTATTGGGGACAACCTGATTGTTTCTATAACCATGAGATAGACACTAATGAACTAATTCATTGCCGGGACGTCAGCATAGTGTCTGACGATATTCCAGATCTGGATATATAGGCATATTGCCTGCGTCCAGTATTTTTATTATTATTATTATTACAAGCTTACCGGTAATAAGATTTATATATATATATTAAATGCCGCCGTGACTATTCTCCATAATTATTTTTATTGAAGATTTAAAAGAAACTGTGGTTAGGTATACATGTAGCAAACACTAATGAAACCAAGTTTTTTTATAAAAGCACTGGAATCAGAGTCTTGAGCATAACCAGCCCAACAGAACTCAAAATATAAGTAGTGCATTTTATAAACTGATTCTCTATTCATATAGTAACAGTGATCGAGACCTTACACCCGGGCCTGGAAAGTTATCCCAAGCAGGCACTTTCTTTGAGGAAGCACTGTATAAAGTCAAGAGTGTAATCAGCCCAAGAGAAATCAAGATATTGTGCATTAGTGCATTAAACAGATTTTCTAGTTATAGTGACCCATTGACCTTTGACCACTGGACCTGAAAAGTTATCCCCAGCAGGACTTGATAAAATCTGAGTGTAATCAGTCCAACAGAATTCGAAATACAGTGCACAAACTGATGTTCTATTTATAGTAAGTGACCTTGACTTTTGATATCAAAGGCTGAAAAGCTATCCAAAAGCTTAAGCAAACATTTTATTACACTGAATAAAGTCCACGTATGCACACACACAAGGTTCTACACTTAAAATTGATAAGTTGACTTTAATATTCATGTTTTTTCTGTATATTATTACCATATCCATAACA